CCCCCCCCCCCCATCACTTTTCTAATGGTCCGTCCCTAACTGGCAATAAAGCCATTTTCAACACCTACCAATTTTGATTCGTAAAGAATTTTGACAGATTTAAAAATCTCTTCCAATATAAATATTCTGGCTTCAAAATTGGCTCATTGAATCATGATACTCTATCCAATACTATAGTTTTTAGATCAATGGCTAATTCGTCCGGTTTCATCCATGCGTCGTGCGTGAACGCTAGCTGGCTGTTCACGCAGAATACGAAATTGTGTATATTTGAGCACGATTCCAGTTTCGTCGGGTTCCGTGCGAATAGGGCTTAAAATATCGTTGTACAATTTCTAAGTTTGTATTCTTTCAAAGTATAGTTATCTACGAACACCCTGATGAGCACTGTACCAAAATATGCAACATAAATGATGATCATGATAGCGTTAGCAATGACATGTCGTCTCCAGTATTTCATCCAAATCTTTTGCATCGGAATGTCATAAAAGTGAATCTGAATGAACACAGACATGATATTGAATGCAAAATCTATGGCCAAACTTATTGCTACCCGGATTAAGGAAGCTTTTATCACTTGCCAGGACGGAACATCGTAGCTCATTGCAAGATAACATGCTAAATACGCCTGACTTAAGATGACCGTGGTGTATTCGAATAAGATATTCTGAATTTCAAGATCTGCGTTGAATCGACGAATACGTGGCGAATTTAAGGGCTGTACTTCCAATCTTGGTCCACAGCATATTCTATTAACACATTTTACGACAGACCTCCAAAGTTTTATACGAAGGTTAAGAGTTGCCTTACTCAGAGCGTTTGAGATACCATGTAACAGTGATAAACCAACGAAAAGCCAGATATCTTGAAAACCGGACTGCATAGTTCGGTATAGCACAATTGCACCCCCGCGTAGGAAATAACACAACACAAAAGCGCGATCTGGTGTAATAATCTCCGAGCTCTTTCTTAGAACAATGTATTTTACAAATGCAGTCATTGGGAAGATTATTCCGGGTGTGAGTGCGGCGATTATGGCTTTCTTTATTTTGCCTTCAGTTTCTCTAAAATACTTCATGATAATAAACGTGTAGATGTAGGCAAATAAGCAGGAACTTAGGAAAGCGAACGAAAGGATGAAAAAAATGCGGAAAACACTGTACGATGTTGTCGAGTTGACTTTCTTGAATTTACGAGCAACTATGTAAGCACCACAGCCAATAGAAGACATAAATAGAAAATTGTCTAGTAATCTATAAAAGTAAAACCCAAAGAATCTTGTCACAAAAAATGACGAAACTTCGCAAAGTGCCAACTGCCCTCCCTCCCTCCCTCCCTATAGTAATAACTGAATCAATGTAAAACTTTATTTAGTAATAGCGCTTGCCTCGTCAAGTTCCACGAGAGGTGTCAAACAATTTTAACTAGGTAAAGAAGGGAAAGAGCAAGTTTTTTTGCCATGCGTTACAAAATATTACAGACTTGCAGATGCCCAATCAACATCCTGTTTCAGAAAATCTTTTCAAAAGATTAAATTGATTCTTTCCAAAAGAGTAAATTGATTCCGACTATTCTAGAGTTTAGCCCACTGGCTGTCGTGAAATTCAACAAGATTTTATAGAACATTTGCAAACTAGTATTTATGCTAGTATAAACCAGTTTACTATATGTACTAACCTGTATGGGTTGTAAGCGAGTTTTCTAAATTTATCAATCATAATAATTCTATAAGCACAAGTTATGGATCCTGGTATAAAGGCGGAGAAAAATAAACACGCAAAGTAATTTTTTTTAAACTCTCTGAAACCCCACAACAAGGCGATGCATGCTGGAAACCATGAAAACAACGGCAGTAATTTGACAGACATTCCAACAATCCGTAATATCTGCACGTGCGCTGGAACACTAAGATTTTTGTGCATCCATTCTATACATGCGTCATTTGAATTCAAGTCCACGTAGACGACTCCAACTGTAAGCGAACCTAATATGACAACAACCGCCGTTATTAATCCGACATTTGCCTTCAAACTTCGGATAAATGATTCGAAGGAATTTCGCCTTGTGTCAGCTTGCATGGAAACAAACGTTCCATCTTCATAATAAGGTACCTCGGTCGGTGCTTCTTGTTCATACTCACGGTGTATTAAGCCATCATATACTTCGTCTTGTTCAGGGTTTTGCACGGATATCAACGTATATTCCCTTTCTCGGGATATCGGCGGTGTTTGAATGATCAAACTGGAGAAAAGGGCCGCACAACTACCAAATACTTCCTCCAGAAACATAATTCGTTTAAAGTACTTGAATTTGTCTGACTCCTAGGCCGAGGGAAAATTTGTCTGACTCGCGGAGATGGCAGTATGTGTATAACATACCTACGCAAAGGCTCTTAAATACGCGTCATGCAAGTCGAAGTTATTGATTTTCAAGTAGGCCCCGTTTGAATGTGAAAGCGAAAGAAAAATGTTCACAATGAATAAACCTTTTTCATAGGACCAACTTCGCTTGGTTTGGAAATTGCCCATATTTCACTGTCTAGCTACTTGCACTTTCGAGAGATGGGTTCTTTTCCGTTAAATGTTGTTAAGGTACGAAAGAGTCATTATTATGACAACGAAACCAAAATATTACATGTCTTAAGAGTGTCAATAAACAGTGAAATGGCAATTTGCATACCAAATTAAATTGGTCTGTTTTTACCGACAATTCGCATTGCAAAAGCAATCTCGTTCCCATCATAGGCGTCGAACGAGCGATAAGTGGGCGGGGGACCATATTCCTATATTCGTGTTCACAGACCTTAAAAACAATCGATTTCAAAAGATATTAATAATGCAGAACACGAATATATGAATATGGTCCCCCCACTTATCGATCTTTCGACGCCTATGGTTCCCATAGCATGCCCGTTTGCAGGTTGGGGTTTGGCATAGCTAACGACTTAGTGCAATGTCCCAACGGACAATTTTTAGTGACAATTCGCAATGCAACGACTTGCAATGCAATCTCATTCCCAGAGCATGCGCGTTCGCAGGTTAGGGTTGGATAGCTCTGGGGAAATCGAATATATTGATTCACGTTGCATTTGCGATGTGAGTTGTACGCATGCTCGGCAATTGTTGCAAAATATAAGGGTTCACTATTTGTACAACAGTTCATGTCGTGACGTCATACGGCCAGTTCCGATTGTGGAAAGTTCGTGTATGTCACTTAGTAAAGGGTTATTTATAAACTATTTTTAGCGATGAATATTGTTTTAAAAATTGATGACATAGACAAATTTACTGAGTATCGACAGGACATTTATTGCAGAAAAGTATATAATCGCCGAGCCAACGGCGCGAAGCGCCGTGCGAGGGTACTAATTCCGACCGGCTATATTTACCCCCGGGGAAAGGAAAGCATTAGCGGAGTCTGAAGTTCATCAATTATCGCGGGCGTGGGTCACCAACCGTTGGTGGTCATGCTCACTGACCTCATAATATAGCGGACTGTGATAAATAGCCAACACTGATTGGTCCAATTTAAAATTTGCATTATAACGACTGCATGACGACAGCGAAATAGCAAACATTTCTTGATTAGTACCACAGATGAGGTAAGTACAGATATGAATCTCACGGCAAATTATGTCACACCGATTAAATAAACTTTAAAATTGTATTAATTCACTATTTTATTAAATTTTGATAATGCAGAGGAATAAAACTATACATATTATAGAAGTATTCATGTTTTTTTATGCCAGAGTTATGTTTTGAGGAATTTATATCATTCGCTGTTTTGTTATTATATACAAGTGTATTTCACGATTTTAATAAGGAATAGATAGGGAAAAAAACAAACTTTTGCTAAATAAAATGTTATGTTAACACTTTTAATAAAAAGAAATCAATAAAAGTGATCGCTTACCGATACTCTTGAAGAATTAATTCCAAAAATAGCCGTCGGTAGCGTAGATTTTTAAAAAAAACAATTTTTCGTCTTTCGAACGGCGTTTTCCTATCTCTTTCCTTATTAAATTTCAGAACGACACTTGCCAGCGCTCGCCGGAAGTGAGAATTCCGTGTGACACAAAACAATCAGCAATTTGACGGAAGATTCACATTTGTACCTACCTCATCTGTGTTAGTACGTTGATTTGATGATTTCTTGCAAATATATTTCATTCTTGAAAGATTTTGTAAATTTCAAAAGCTTTTTGAGAAAAAAAGGCGAAAGAATCGGTTGAAGGAAGGAAGCAAAGGCGCCGACGTTAACGAAGGTAAGTTTGTTTTAAATATTGTTCGATTGTTCGAGGTATTGTTTGCTTTATAATTGTTTTAAAAGCGGATCTTTGCGTATATAAATGAAACAAGACAGGCTTAGACAGCATATAATTTCAGTGCATGTATCTTTATTGATTACCCTTTTTTATTATTTTAATTTTTTAAATAAAAAAGAAAGCAAAGTTTTTTGCATGCGAGAATTTGAAATCATTTTATTTCAAACTCAAAGTTTATCGATAAAGCCTAAAGGCAGTTTCGTTTTAATATATTAAAGGAACACTTTAAAACGTTTTGCGAAGCGTTTGCGGTTGAATTTTACCTTAAATGGAAGCTTATATTACGTATAATAACATACCTAACATATATATGTTTGGGAAATTGATAATTTTGTAATTAAAAGTGATATTTTTTAAGGGATTTTTCATTTGTAAAAATATTCTTAGCAAATTATCGTGCTCCCATGACAACTACTTTAAATACTTCATGTTCGGAAAATACAATGGTTTTGTCAGCAAGGCGAGGGTTTCTGCATGCATGTATTTTCTAGTACTTTCATATGATCCATATGAAACAATTTATACAGAATTATACTGTTGACAAAAGTGTTTTCACTCGTTGTGGCATGGCAAAGTATTTAGAATTTCTCGTCGAAAATTTATTACTTTTTACACTGAAATCAATTCAAAACAACTTAAAATTATAGGGTAAATATTATGTACGAAAGCTTCAGATTGATAGGTATACTAATCGCTCGAAATAAATCTTTTAAGGCGCGAAATTTTGTTCATGTTTCTCTAGATACTTTGAGCGTTAACTTAAACCTACTACTGGAGTAATTCTGCCAGACATTTTCCCACCATCCAGGATTTCTTGTCAGACGACGACAACCTCGAATTCTAGGTTTTCTAGCCAGTTCGACCACGGCTCCTTGTCAGAAGTAGTAAAGACAGATAGCAAACATTTATGATTAATGCCCTTTTCTTAAGGTACAGAAGCAATAAATTCCACCTTAAATGCCTTCTTTTTCGTTTCATAAGCATTCTTTTGTAACATATGATAAGGACAGCAGAACGATTGATCGGCGCCATGTTTATAGTTTCCAGGCTCTCGGCAGCGCGAGCAGTATTTTATGCGACGTAAATTCGACGTATAACTCGGCGACGAATTTGTGTCGAATTTCAGACGAAGTTAATTGCAATTAAATTCGTCTAAATTAAATTCGACCCAAACGCGTCGTTTAGCGCCTCCCTAATGGTTGTGCAAAATTATCGTAACTCTGAACAATCTCATTTTCAATTTAATATCGATTTCAGTTTAATATTTCATGGTTTTGGTGTTGAAGACTGAGGTGAATTATTCTTAATACCTATTTGTAAGCCTGGAATGGTCCTTGTAATTTTATGTGCTTAATTTCCTTACTTCACTGGTTGTTAGAATAGCCACAATGTGGAAATGCTATTAAACCATTATTGTATTATTATTATTTTGTTTACTATATTATGGATGTGAACCCTTGAATGTTGGATGTAATGATTGGATAGCCCGCTCTACATTACTCATTAGGTAAATTAAAACTTCTAGCTGAAACTAAAATTCGCATGATTGCCTACTCTCTCCTCTGCAGAGGCTTACATGAAGTTTCTAGTGAGGGAAAAATGAGCGCGCAAGGAGTGATAGGAAGAGCGAAATAAAGGAAGCCTCTGCTAGTTAATGCAATCAATATGGCGTCGTATATAATCATTTGGAGTTCGGTTCGATATCAACCTTCGAGGGTGTTAAAACATGTTTTCCACTTTCCTTTTCAGGCGTACTTGAGTCTCCTGGAATGAATCCAATCTCAATATCTTCTTCTGTCCATTTGCGCCGAAAAATATTGAGAAATTGCAAATGAATATAAATGGATATGAGCTATCTAATTATAAATATCCTCTAAATTGCAACATTTCTTTATAAAAATGACTCTACTGAACTTTGATTCTCAGATTATGAAGACTTATATCAATTTCTTCCACATTTCTGTCGATTTCAAGTTTAAAAAAAGGTCAAACAACTGGTTTGGTTCAAAAACCATATTTCGTTGCATTGTGTGGCAGAGCCTTCTCGGCTTTATTTCAATCTCCCATCACACCGCGCGCGCTCACTTTTATTCAGGAAACTGCATGCAAGTTATTTGTAAGTACTTAAGGAGGCCCGGCGGAGAGAGTGATTGCCTATAAATATCACAGTTGGTAATTGTTTCAAATTCGTCTACGCAGGGATTGTATTTTTGCCATTTTGTATGGCATAATATGTCCATTAACGACCAAATTTAAAATACGTACGAGTACAGGCGCGATTTAATTGGAATTTCGTCATGTGAATCATGGCATTATATGGGTCATTGCTGGCAGTGCAGTCGCTTCTTGTTTTGCCATTTAACAACACTTATACTTCATTTAATACGCTGTTTGTTTTGATATAATAAACATATTGTTGAGTTCAATATAAAACTGTATGTTATCCAAATATTAGTATGACGTAATACTGAGAGACAAATGCATGATGGGATTGTTGTGTTGTTAGTTGAACTTCCTCGTGAAAGCAACTTACTGTACAAAACTACATTTGTAATAAACGTGAAAATAAAGAGTGATTTCATTACAAATACGGCGTTCTAAAGTCATGGCTTCAACAGGTTATGGGCCCAGCAGAGAATCACGCTGGTCAAGGTTGACTTTCGATGGAAACGAAAGCAATTACGAACTGTGGGAAGCGAAATTCCTCGCGCACATGAGGTTATTAAAACTAAAGGATACTATCCTGCCGTCTGAAGAAGAGGCTGACGCAACAAAGAACGAAGAATGCTACGCCGAGCTTATACAGTGTTTGGACGACACCAGTCTGTCACTGGTAATGAGGGATGCTACCGACGATGGCCGAAAGGCTTTACAAATACTCCGAGACCATTATGCAAATCAAGGCAAACCAAGAATCATCACACTCTACACTGAGCTAACGTCACTTGAAAAAGCACTTCA